ATAAATGCGATGATTAGCTGCATATAATAACACTATTAAAACTGAAACAATGTTTTTACAAATGAGTGAATATTTGGGGAAACAGTCATTTTTATTTCTATTCTAAGTTAAAGTGATCTGAGAGAAATGAAACATTTTCCTGAATGTCCACACAAATGAACTGGTCAAAAGAATTGAAGAGGAGCTAGATCAAACTATAAAAATGTATGCAAGATTGTCTTTACTATATAAAAGACAATACAGTATTGTAATACGATCTCAAGAAGTGGCGGTCATAAAAGTGTGTTCAAATTAGTTCTGTAGTGAGAGGAGCTCCAAAATTGTATAGCTCCGTTGTGGTGAAAGAAAGCAGTTTAAGGTGATGGTCACAGTCTCTGTTGCATTGGGTCAGTCTCAAATTAACAGTTTATCCTATGCTTGCATGTACACATACATTCTATTTGGCTTAACATTACAATAACATAATCTGCAACGGAAAAAGCTTTTCCTGCCCACATTTGAAGCTGTAATTAATAACTTCATTGTGGTAGCCTGACAGGATTGTCATGTTTTTCAGACGCATTTGGTAACTCTTTGCCTTACATTTTAGTAGGAATAAATATATATATACATGTTTATATAATTAATCAACCAACCCTATCATTTCCGTAGAATAAGAATGACCGCCCTGAGCCCTAATATTAATATATGGGAAAGTAGAGATTAAGTAGTGGGGTTAGGTCGGGAAGTCTTAATGTTATTTAGTTGTTGTTTAGTCTTAACAGAGATTGAACACTGTGACTTGTGATGTCTGCTTCTCACCCTCAAGATTGATGAACTTACTCAGTTTGTTTGGAAATTGGACTTTTGGTTATACAAATTTCTTATTTTAAAAAAAAGCAACACCCCCCCCCCTAAAAAAACCAACAAAAAAACCCCAACAACATAGAAAGAATTCAGTGATTTCCAATTCTGATATTTTTTAAAGGTTTAAAATTGGTCAGGGGAATTGTGTACCATTTTATTGAAGTGTTGGCATCAGGATAGCGTTGCTGATCTACAAAAATTGCATAGGCCTATAAAACCTTACATACGAGGGGCATACCAAAAGTTTTTTTTTTACATATCCATGAAGAAATAAAGATAGAAAGCTGAAATTTGGAGTGAAAGTCAACAATTATCTTCCTAGAATGCATGTAAATTTTGGGGAATTTCTGATTGCTGGTTTCAACACCAGCGCACTGTAAGTGAATGGTGGTATGTTGTTCTCCAGTTTGAACATAAAAATGGAGAAAATTGAGCACAGGGCAGTAATCAAGTTTTTGTTCTCGCAAGGCAAGCAACTATAGGATATTTTTACGGAGATGCATGATGCCGTTTTTGGTACTGATTGCCCATCCTATGCTGTGATGAAAATTTTGGGGTAAATAATTCAAATACGGATTCATGGACATTGAAGAGGACCGCAGTAATGGTCGCCCAGTGACAGCGACAACAGAAGAGAATGTGTTGAAAATCAAAGAACTTGTGTTGTCTGATAGGTTGGTGACAGTCAAACGTTGGAGCAAAGAAACTAGGATTAACATTGGTTCAGTTGAATGAATCTTAAATGAACTTTTGAATATGACCAAGTTTTCTGCGAGATGGGTCTCACGTTTGTTGACCCTTCCTCAAAAAGTGCAATGTGTGCATTGTTGTCGAAAATTTCTTGGTCTGTATGAAAAGGATGAAGGGGGCTCTCGCGGCCTAGAGGTTAAGGTGTTGGCCTCTCATTCAAAGGTCCCATAAAACGCTTACCAAAAAAAAAAGGATGAAACTAAATTTTTGGAACGACTTGTAATCATGGATGACGCATGGGTCCTCCACTACGATCCTGAGTCAAAATCTGCATCAATGCAGTGGAAATCGCCCTTGTCTCCAACACTTAGTCTGTAAAGAAGAAGGAAAAGGTAAAGCCGTCAAGTGGAAAAGTTATGCTATCAGTTCTTTGGGACCAAGAAGGAGTGATTATGACAGACTATCTTGAAAATGGACATACGATCACCGGAGACCTTTATTCAAACCAGATTTTAAAAATTATGAGAGGCTATAAAAGAAAAACGTAGAAGAAAGATCCGAAAAGGCATTTTGCTGCTTCACGACAACGCGCCAGCACACACTTCAAGATAAGCTACCGAAACTGCGCTATAAAGTGGCTTAGAAATTTTGCCACATCCACCCTTTTCTCCAGATTTAGCCTCGTCTGACTCTTTTTTTAAATTTCCCAAACTGAAAAGGTTTTAAAAGGAAGGTGTTTTGAAAGTGATGATGAGGTCAAAGAAGCAGTATAGGGCTGGCTGTTTTCTTACAAAGAGAGGGTCTTCTGTTCTCAAGGTCTTTTCAAGGTCATACACCGAGGGCAAAAATGTATAACTGTGGGAGGTGACTACAAAGAGAAAGATTAAGGTTAGTACCAAATTTCAGCTTTCTACCTTTATTCCTTCATGGTCAGGTAAAAAACATTTATGCCCCTCGTATTATATTAGTAAATGTCGAAATGTCACAAATTTAAATAGGCCTATCATTTGAATTGCTCCTATATGAGTAGACTGACTTGTTACGTCAAAACTGATTTGATAATAATTTTAATAATGCAGATCATGTCTAAAAAAGTGCTCACTCTTGTACAATATAGCTCAAGGCGCTTCACAGTACGCTTATCTTGACACAAAATTCACGTGCATAAATTGTGCAACAGGTAAACAGACACTCATATACTCATACATGAGCCTTTGCCAATAGGTTGCGGTTTCTTAATATACCTTACAAAATCCTTTCCTATTTCAATAAAAATGGTGCTACAGCTTTGAAAATTGTAATGTTGTATGTGCTTAATATGATGTTTCAGCTGTCGGGCCATCAGAAGAAATCTTACAATTATTTTTAGTTCTGAAATCGACGTGTGGAGTTCGTAATGTGTGTGTTGTCAAGTTTCAACAATGAAATAATTGCTCAGAAACTCGTCCTTCACTACTATAACTATATTATTTGTGGTGCTATATCAGGAATAATGATATCTTAAGCTGTTTTTTCTTTGTGAGCTTTCTAGATTTTCATTTTCGAGCATAATTCGTGTAGTCATTTCGCAAGGCAACTTCGACTCCCTGTGACTTCATTTCTATCGGCCATTTTGGGGCCTTGGAACGAGCATAATATCGTTCAACGTTTACTCTCTTCCCTGACTGATTCCGAGGCTGTGACCGTATGCAATTTTGCAGAAAATGGAAATCCCGCGACGCCTCGTGCTCTGTCATCATTTGTTATGTTCGAAAGAACCAATCAGAAAACGAGAAGTAATAAGGGTGGAGTAACATGCATTGTTCCTGTCGATCCATTCAAAGCGTATCGTTGTGCGATGTAAAACGGCGAGAAGAATAAACGATGGATGAGACGAATCCATTTAAGTTTTCTTATATCGTCATCAAATCTAAACATACTATGTTTGAAAATTTAAACCAAGTAATGGTTAACATCACACTGCATTTCAATGGTCAAGTAGTGGTTGATCTAGATGCAACCACGCAAGCTTGGCTAGATGTCAACGAGAGGGGAAAATTTGATGTTAATTGATGATATGTTCCAAAATGGTGACAGACATTTATCCACTATGATGACTATGATGTGTCATCATGGTTATGTTCGAAAGATATTTGGTATTTTGCGTTAGAGTCATAGTAAAATGTGAATTAAGTGATATTTTTTCACCATTAGCATGCATTAAGAGTCAAACTGAATCTCCTGAATCTTTGTTTGCCAAAATTTTCAAAAACTGAATTAAAATAAATGAAAATGGAAAGTTCTTCATTTCTTTCGGACATAACTATGATGACACAAATGCGAACACATAGACATTCAGAATTTCTTTTTCTGTGATTTTATATGCTCTTCATCCTTATGTTTGAAAATTAAAGCAGTGAGGAAACTATTAAAATAATTTTATGTTCCGTAAATTACTTTTCAGGGGTTTTTTTCTTTTTGTGTCATCATGGTTCTGTTCGAAAGATTTTAGATATTTTGCAGAGATTCATTGTAAAATTTGAATTAAGTGGCATTTTTTCATGATTAACAAGCATTGTGAGTCAAACTGAACCTTCTGATTCGTTGTTTGCCCAAATTTTCATAAAAGAAATTAAGATAGGAAGACGGAAAGTTTTTCATTTCTTTCGGACATAACTATCACAAATGCAAACACAACGGCATTCAAAATTTCTTGTTTCTCTGATCCTCACCATTTTATATGCTCTTCATGTTTATGTTTGAAAATTAAAGCAATAAGAAAACTGTAAAAATAATTTTGTATGGACAAATTCTTAAAAAATGTGTCATCATAGAATCATAGTTACGTCCGAAAAAATTTGTCTTGACGTTATGTAACACCAGTTACACAGCTTATCATGCTGTCTGAAGGTCTGTTAATACATGTTTTTGTAGGAGGAGATATACATGAATAGAAAAATTCAAGTAGAAACGAAATATTAAAAACTTTATTATCAACCCTCTGTGCTACATTTTAGGTACCCACCTATTTGCAAAAGCTCACATGTACTATCACAACACAATAAATGACAATATGCACATCATATTATGAACATAATATAAGAGTACTGAGAATAAGAAGGACAAGCAGTCAAGATGGCATGTCATGGAGTGCGTTTTTAATTAAGTTTTAAAATTTTTTCTCTGATCAGGTATCCTTCAACTTTGCATCCATCGACTTTGTATCCCTCAAATGTTATGGGATAGAGTTCCAGATAGATATAGTTGGATAAGGAAAAACCTTCCAATGAGTTTCTAGGTGCTCCCATTCTCACAAGAGACTGATCTCCTGATCTTCGAGAGATGTTTTAAGAGCCCATGGCCATGCTTATTCTCATTATAATCCCTATTAATTTTGACTCACATGCCTCTTATATAATCAAATTCTCCAAGTTGTTTTTAACCTTCTCTCCCCGCCCCTTCCACCCCTCTCTCCCTTATTTCAGCATTTTGAAACTCGAGGAAGTCGTTTTCTACCATCAGGAAGATGGAATCGTCAAATGACCTTGGGAATACTGACACTGTGGGACCAAATGGTCTGGAGTTTATCTTTGAAGGTGGAAAAGGTAGATGTTTTGTCTGTAATGTCGAGTTCACCTCAAGAGCACTGGCTGATCAACATTTGTCTGGACAGAAACACATGAAAAAATGCCAAAACCTACGTCCATTTGATTTCTCTAGACCTCCAGCTCCTTTGCAGAGAAGCAATGCTACAATCCAGGCTTCAGTGCCCAGCTCATTAGAAATTTGTCCCTCTTCAGTTGGAGGAACCCTTGGCCCAGGTGGCAAAGTGTATGAAATGCATGGTTCACAAGGTATTTGTTATGTCTGTAATGTTGAACTGTCATCACCTCTGATGGAAGAAAGCCACATCAATGGTCAAAAACATCAGAAGAAAGTGGCAGCTCTCTCTGGTTCCAGTGTAGAAAATAGTGGTCCTCAGCCTGTTGATGCAAGCCAAACACAGAACCTGCTTAAAGGAATGGCCAGTGGAAAATTGCTCATGTGTTCTGTATGTTCAGTGGGTTTTTCTGGACCACAGAATGCTCAACAACATTTTCAGGGTGCCAAACATCTGAAAAAATTGGCCCAGTTGAATTTGTTAGGTAAATTAAGCACAGATTTCAGCAGTGACCCAGACCAGACTGAAGTAAAAGAAGTTTGGACCCCAGTGACTCAACAAAGCATGTCATCGCACAGTTTTAGCACAAGCAGTTCAAACAAGACTTTATTAGCTCATAGTTTGCCAGCACCCGTCACTGATGTTGTCACATCTGTTCAGGTGAGCGAACATATTGCTTCGAATGAACAGAATAGTTTACAGTTAGGACTTGTACTCACCTCTCCTGTACAGTTCACAACAAAACCCTCAGTTGACTCAGGAGAAAGACAGAAACCTGAACCAGTAACTGCTGCAGGTCTAGAAGGAGGCCGTGGTGATCACTCAAATAGTAGTTTCCAAAGGGCCATCAGTGTGTCATCAGAAGAAAATGTTGTCACCAACGAATCTAATGTGAAGAACCAGCAGATGGATAATTTTTGTTCAAACCTGAACGAGTCCCCAAAGTTGAAGGACAAAGATAATATCATTAGGAGCATCAGTACCAGTGATGGGAATAGTTTTCCTGTGTCTGAAACAAGTGGTGGTTTTGGAGACTCAAGTTTAACCTCAAGCATAACAGATAATTGGTTAATTGGACAGAATAGAGCAGTTGGAAACCCAGAGAGTACTGCTCGGACTACCTTAAGTCATGAGGGAAATCAGCAGCATCTTCCGTCATGTTCAGATGGTCATGGTATGGATATTGGCCAACGACAACACTTTGTGATATGCACTAAAGATCGTGTAACTGAAACAAGAGTACAGCAGGTGCATTCTCCTTTTGATGTGGGACTGAACTCTGAAGGGTATACTTTCAATGGTGTTAAAGGATTCTGTTATGCATGCCAAGTGGATTTGACTTCTCTTCAATTAGCTAAACAGCATGTCAATGGCCAAAAGCACAAGAAGAAGGTTGATTTGTACAAACAAGCCCAGACTGTTTCAGGACAAGTTGGTTTTGGCCAGTACTTGCCTTCAGGGGCACAGACCCCATTGGCCCCATCAGACTCTCAGCATGATAGAAGAGATGAAACCTACTATTTCTCCCAGCTGCAGGGTAGAGGCTACTGCCAAGCATGCAACATTGAGCTAACTTCATATCAACACTGTCAACAACACATCAATGGCAGCCAACACCGACGGCGACAACTGAAACTTAGTGAAGAGAGTGAAGAGTTTCCCCTCTCTTGTGAAGTTTGTGCAAAAAGTTTCACAGGGCAAGAAAGTGCTGCTCAGCACTTCGCTTCTGCAAAGCATAAACAGAAAGTGGATGTTATAAATGAGTGCAAGACCCTTGAGTATTTACAGCATGGCCGCAAAGTCAGAAAAGACGGAAGCATTTGGTATGCCTGTGACATTTGCAAGTGCCTGATGAACACCATTGAGCAATTTCAGTTCCACAAGAAAAGTCCCCGGCATCAGAGTGAACTTCAGAAGTGCTCCAACAGCGGTGTAAATGCTCCTGAAACAGATCTCAGTCATGCCTCTGGAGGTGATGCTAAGTCTGTGCCAGGGTCCCCTGAAGTATCTGCTATTTTGTCTGGAAGCAATGGTGGTTCTGAGCCCAGAGCGGAGACTGCAATGAGCCCCAGGGTGCAAAATACAATACAGTCTGTACTGGAGCAACATTACAAGGTGTTGACGTTTGGACGCGAGCCGTCGGTCACTCCACATGTTGATGACAGGAGAAACTTTCAATACGGCTCTAAAGACTGTCATAGAGGTGGGTTTCGTTTGAGGAGCAATCTCTACGTATAAGGGCAAAATCATTAGTAAATTAAGCTTTCTGATTTGTAGGAATTAGGATGCTTCCTGACTTTCAACAGTAGATATTTATATGATTTAAATATTAGAGGAAGGCAGCCTCAATTTGATATTGGCTCTCTTTATTTTTAACTGGTCGAAAGTAAACTTTTTATCAGCAATGTAGTAGGAAAGAGCAGATTTTTTACAGAATTTGAAAGAGTCAAAAATGCCTTTAAAGACTTTATTGAAATGAAAGTGAATTGATTTATTAAGAAGAAAGTCGACTTAAGATGCCCATTTCCCCAAACTGTTTCTTTCATTTTTGGGGACTACAGCTGTATTAACTAGAACATTATTTCTTCCTTCACTTCTGCACAAGTATGAGGTTTTCATCATATTCATGTTAATTAAAAAACAAATAATTGGTATGGTATCAATAACAGCTCAGCCATCATTTTAAATGTAAGAGAAATTATTTTCTGATGTTGCAATCTAGGCAAATAGGTAATCTGCATTTATGAAAAGATGTGTGGCATGGTATAAGCTATTTTGATTGATGAACTGTATATTATAACAAAGTTTAGAAATATTTTTATGTAGGTTGTGATAGGTGGGTGACAAATTTCAGAAAGCTGTACATTCTTGAAGCATTGCTGTCATTCTGGAAATACGTTTGTGTGACTCAGGAAAGGGTACGGAGGTCACATAAGCTTAATGTGAGAAAACGGGGAATATAAATATAGTGTAAAATCTTATTCTGCGGAAAATTGAGGTCCATCAGGTTATCACTTCACCAGCCATTTTACTTCTTTCTCACAAAATACTTTACACCAATTCTACTTCGGAGCATGTTTTTGAAAGCTTTTATAAAAACACATGTTCTTTTTGTAACATTACAAAGTGGCTTTGATTTTTTCCAGTTGATCACCTTATAAAATGGACTCTCTGGTCTCCCATACGTTCCATACAAAACCCCTGCATATTTTATACTGATATTTTCATTGTTAATTCTCCTGTCTACCAACCTTTAGTTTGCATGGATTTCTAGCTGGGAAGAAGTGGAAGTAGTGAGTATCTCGACTAACCTTCTGGTTACTGAGTTCATTTTTTAACATTGCATCTTGATCCCAGAAATGTCTTTCTACTTGTAATCTGGACATTGTGAGGGACCCGTATAATTATTTTTTCTTTGATTCATAATTTTATTGAGCATTTTGGGTGTTCAGTGTTCTCCCTGTGATTCTACATTGCTGTATTAGATAAAAAAGATTTATAAGCTCTATTATTTTTTAAGAGATACAAATGTTTCTCTTGAGGTTTAATTTCCACGAAACTTTAAAGAAGTTTTGCTCAAATACAGTTGGTCCAGCCCCCACCCACAAAAATGACCATATCTCAAAAATCAGCTGAGATATAAAAAGAAATAGAAAGAAGAATATCAGGGAAGGTCATTCTATGCAGAAATTCAAGAAACTAAAATAGTACAAAATAGCACTCGTGAACCTTTTATCTTAGGCATGCTCACATATGCTTTGGTTTGAGCTGATTGAGTTACAGACTAGTGGAAAGGGACACGTTTTGTAATTTTAAAATAAAATATAAAGAAAAAGAGAGAGAGGGAGGGAGGGAGGGCATGTGTATTCATGAGGTGGTATTTTTGTATATTTGTAATTTGTCTTTACTATAAGACAAAAGTAAAAAGTCTGAGAGTTATTCTCACCATAGTTTTGTGTCTACCTGTGTATTAATTTTTTTCTCCATAGAAGGGACTTGCAGTGATGAAAGAGATTTGAGTGCCGTTGGAGCTCCAAGTCTGTCTGCTTTGTATCAAGGTGAAGGTCCCAGTGGAACAGATGGTCTCTCTAATAATTCATCAGGTCAGCATGCTTCCCTCGAAGACAGCCGGAATGATGCAAGTGTTCAGAGACCCCCAAGGCCTGCCTCATGTGAAGCAGGACAAAGTGGTCAAGTTCTTTCCCAGGTTGGAAATGCCAGCAGACGTGACAACATTGGCAGTGCCCGTTCTTCAGAAGGTGCCTGTTTCTCATCGATTCTTCCTAGTGAAAGAGGTTATAACTTAGTGTGCACTCCTCGAAGCAACTTCCAGCGCAGCAGCTCCGGTGGGTGTGGAGACAGGAGGAGCTCTGAGAGCAGCCAAGACAATAGGGAGGATGGCTCAGGCACAAAGGGTGGTGCAGAAGGTGGTCGCGACAGTTCCAGTCATATGACTGGGGCTAGAGGAAGCGTAGACTCGGACATGATCTCATCTAAACCTCGGGGTGTTGCTCAAGGACGGACATCTCGTGCTGGACTGAGAGGCATGGTATCTGTGGAATATATGGAGAGATGTGGAGAAGATTATAAAGAAGATTCATCGGATAAAGAACCTGGTGATTTTGATAAGAACATTGATACAGAGGAGGAACCACCTGAACCAACCAAAAGAAAGTCAGAGGAGCTGGCTGGGAGGAGTTCCAAGTCTGGGTCCCCATACTATTGTAACATTTGTAACGCGCGTATGGATACAAAAGCTATGTATAAAATCCACATGGCAGGTGCAAAGCACATGTTCAATGAATCCAAGAAATCTGCTCCTACGAGACAGCTGAAGCCTGTTGCGAAGACAGAGTTCAGTGATGATGCCTGTGATACTGCTTGCAATGCGGTGGACACCACACCACGACCATACCAAATTGAGTTGGTTGAAAAAGCGCTTAAGAGTGACTCTCTTGTCTACCTACCCACAGGTGAGTTAATGTGTCATTATGAAATAATCAAATTCTGTGAATTAATTACTTTTTAAACTATTTCAGTTTTGAGAGAGTCTCCTAAGGTAGTCCTAGGCCTACTTTTGTTCCCAATTTTCTCTCTTGACTCTTTTTCTCTTGTTTTGTTTTTTCTGTTCTGATGTATTCTGTTCCAAGTTATTTGGAAAATTTATGTGTCTTTTTAGTTTTAATTTTTGGCTTTTGTGTCTCGGTGTAGTTTACAAACATGGCCTTCCTTGTGGAAGAAGGGGATTTGATTCATAGCAGAATATATCCACTGAGCCTCGTGTCCTGATTGGGGAAGCCATTTCGTCTGCTCTCAAAATAGACTTACTACCTGTATATCAAGTGTGGGACTTACGCTTTGACAATAACATATTATAATAGTATTCATGGATGGCACTATTCACAATATCTTCCAACATTACTCTTATCTCTTAAAAACAATTTTTTCGGGGCATGAGAAATTTCATCCTTCCTCTTTTCCTTTTGAGTTACTTCCTCAAGGAATCATTTCCTCTGAATTGTCATTCTATGTAGCTTTTCTGTCACAACAACCCAAGTGGAAACCACTCTTATCCGTTTTTGCAGATTTCACTGTTACAGGAGTGGCCATTCTGACCATGCTTTTTTAAATTAATGTCACTTCAACTGCTTTTCATCCAATTTGCCATAATAGGACTTGTTCATGTTGTGAATCATGTGGTTCATAGAAATAACTAAATTTTGCTGCGACTGCTCTCTGTGATGAGTTGACAACCTTGGGATTTTATCTGGTACTTGAATTGCTAGATAAATGTTAGATAAATAGTGAGTGTCTTTTCATCCTGTTGTTTGGCTAAAATATTATAATAACAAACAATAGAGAAAATGACAAAAGACCTGAACAGTTAGATTCAAACTGAGGTATTTTTTTCCATAGCATCATAGTTCAAAGTTTGTTCTTAGGCATTGTTAATTGGTACGTGTTCTTTGGGCTGTCTGGTAATTTTTGCTGAATCTCATGATACAGACTCAACTATTCTGACAAGTGTCGACTCCACAGTAAAACAAGTGCTATGTGTGTGGCGTCGATGGCCTAGTAGTTAGGCTCTTAGACTGACAACCGCAAGTTCATGGGTTCAAATCCCATAAGGGACCCGATGTTGTGTCATTAGGAAAGGCACTTTACCCAAATTTTCCTCACTTCATCCAGGTGGGAATGGGTACCTAGCTGTAGACAGCGAAAGATCTTGTCAGTTTGTTAGTGTTTGAACACGTGCAATCCACAACTTGCACTGTATGCTTCCCGGGAAGGCAAGAATGTTTCTGAGTGTTCTATGGTCTGGGGTAATAATGGTTGTATAGGGCATAGAGCATGCTGTAGAGTGTGGATGTGCGCTTTATAAATGTAAAAATTATCATTATATTTTTCTCTCTACTGTTGCATCATATATATTTTTTTCTCCTATAATATTTTTTATGATATATCTCACACATGCATACATACTTACTGCCAAACCTTCTCTAACAACAAACTGTCTTAAACAATCAGCTGTACAAACAACAACTTTCCACTTCCTTCTTGGTGTTTTAAAAATGTGGTAACGCAACTTTTGAAGAGGACCACCTGTGTAAGATGACCACTTTTCTCCTTGACAATTGGTGGTTGTCCTGGACTGGTTTGACTGTACAAACTGTGTATATGTGTGTACTCTATTTAATGATGTTGATTTAATCTTTTGTAGATTTAATAATTGCAGCAGTATGTAGTCTGTATTTGCTCCTGCTTCTTCAGGTACTGGCAAGACACTGGTTGCCGTTGTGGTTATTGCTGCTATGCTTGAAGCCAACACAGACCGTCCAGTTCTCTTTTTGGTAGACAAAGTCCTGTTGGTCATGCAACAAGCAAAATATATCAAAAGGCAGTTGGGTCATCGAAAATTCAAGAGGTATTATAAAGCCAACAATTTGTTTTACGTTGTGTGAGTAGCCAAAGTTTGAATGTTCAAATTATTTTCTACCTGAAAAAAAAAGTGGATGGTTAGTGGGTTCTCTGGTGTAGTTTGCTCTTTCTTTCCTATCAAGCATCTATCATTCTCATCTCTCCTCCTTCTTTTCTATGTATGTTACTCTTAAGTGACACCTCTAATCTTTGGCTTTTATATAACCTATTTGTATTGCAAGTGTCGTAAATCTCTAACTATCAGTTTAAACTTGAAAATAAAAAGTCTAGAAAAGCACTGTGGAGGTTGTGGTCGAGTGGTGTAAGGACAATGTGGAAACATGGTTGTGCTACTTGGTATTCACTCTGCTATTTCATCCCAAATAATAATTTGTAATCAACAAAAATGTTCACCAGCAGGGCTGTACGTAGCATATGTGTCACGACGTGGTGGAATCAGGCGCTTGACAGTTTTGGGGCATATGGAGTTATTGGTATCGTCATAAAACCTGTCCATTTACCTTGCTTGCGATGACAAAAATATCTATTTATCTCAGACACAAGTCAAGATATTGGCGATTGAAGGAGGTGGAGGGTCACCTGGTTTCATGGGTAAAATTAGCAAGAAAATAGCCACCAAAGTTGAGTTATTTCCTCAGTTTGAGAGTCTGTGGAAACTGAAAATTTACATCTTTTATGCCTTTAATCAACGTTTTTCAGTAAAAATCCGCACCAAAATTTAATGGACAGGAAAGGTGTTGAGCCAAAAAACAAAAATTCAATAAAAATTCCCATAACCTGCGGAAAAATGCCAGTTTCTTGATTTTCATTATTTTGACGAGCGCCTGATTTCACCACGCTGCCTTACATATATACCCTCAAAGTTTATATATGCAAGTTTCCCGCCTCATCAGTGTCTCATGCTTTAGATCAAGGAAGTCTTTAGGATGTCGAACTTCAAATTGTCAGTCTTGATTATATCACATAAGGATTGCTGTAGGATAAAACGACCAGCACCCTTAGAATCGTGATATCAGGTTATAATTATAATTTTAAAACAGACAAAAGTTTTGTTAGAATGTACAGACATTCTTTGGCAGTCACAACTTTTACAAGTTACCGGATAAAGATTCGTACTTGGCTGTGGTGAAGCAGTTTATTAAGAGTGGAGACTTGAATCTGTCATTCCTTTTTTAAACGTAAAGCTTCCTTTCTCCCTTGTATCCAACTGCCAGGACACAAATCTTGTATTGAGAAAGAGTGAGGCTTCAACTAGAACAGATTAAATGTATTATACCCTTCTTTTCATTTCAGAGTGAGTCTCACCAAAGATACTGAAATAGAGGAAAGAGACTTGGAAGTTAAGATTATTTGTGGTGGAATGCAGAGCAAAAGCACACTGCCTATTTGGAAGCATGACATTGTGGTCACCACTGCAGGTAAAAATCTGTCTATTGTCACTACCTGAAAGAGCTTTAAAAATAAGTTATATAATAATAATAATAATAATAATAATAATAATAAAATAATAATGATAATAATAATAATAATAGTAGTAGTAGTAGTAAAGCTCACTTCTATTGTGGCTCTTGGTGCATCACAATAGATTTAAAGAATTTTTTTTTATTGATTTCATTTGATACAGAATCCATAGCTTGATAAGTCAGCAAATGATAGTATAATTGCCAAAATGTACAGTGTTGTTGTGAACAGGGAGTGAAAGGAATGAATGTTTGCTGTGGAACTCGACAAATGGCGAAGTATCTAACTGAATCAAGTTTTTTTATTTTATTGATTTGTCGCACTTGTCATGCACATATTCTTCTAGTGTCAAATGCAGGATGATGTTAGTTCATTCAAAATAGTTTTCAAAGTGGTAAAACAACGTAAATAACTGACTTCAATAATAAGCATCGAGAGTTTTTAACGTTTCCTCAAAATTATGAAATGAGCAGTTACATCACTGTGCCTTTTCTCAGGCAGAAATCCTTTGAATGCTGGAAATCCCCCTTGTGGAATCACTCTGTTTCACTTATTTTGAGTTTCTCTTTTAAATATGTATGAAATGAAGTCCTAGTCAGGGTGGAAAAAGGATCCCAATTCTATCCATCTCAAAAGGAAAATTTTGTTTTTGATTTTGTCCCGAGGGTCTGCTGTTACTGTCACTTTGCCATCACAAGGCTCATATAGTAGAAACCCTTGCCATCACAAGCATTGTGGGGTTAAATCCAAAGATACTGGGCGGTAAACATCACCGATCGGCATTTTGTCACGGGAGCGGAACATCCGCGTTCTTTCCGATCGACGAGATGTGACGGCAAAGTGTTAATTCACTCAACCCAAGGCCTATACTTCCAGGTTGTCAGCTCTCCTTAGAGATTTTTACAACTTTTTGAGAAACTGAAAAAGTACTAAATTTTAACATATCCTATTCAAATTTCGTACACATTTTATTAAAACCTTTATTTGTGTGTATTGAAAATTTGAAGGCCAAATATATCACTGTTTTTATGCAATACTCCATGGGAAAAGGTCTATATATAGAGAGAGAGAGTAAAAAAAGTAAACAAAAAGCGAAGAACGGAAGTGCGTTTAAATTTCACACCTCCTCACATGGTTCACGAATATAGCTTTCTTTGTTCTAAATTTGGGCTTGCATTTCTGGTCGTAGTCTGTTGCAAACGAAGAATGGTTACTCTTTCAATTAGGCTATAGTCTGCCTCACACAAAAGTAGAGTTTCCGGTCACAAGAGCGAAATTTTCCATACCTATACTATACTGTCGAAGTTAGGGTTGGAGCATTGCACGTTCATACCGATATTATGGGCTTTAGGGCTGGGTGAATTAAAGCTTGAAGCTGACTGGAAAGACAGGACTAGTGCACAGACAGGAGTATGATTATGTCCACTTGGAGATTTCACAGTTTTAATTTTGTGGACCAAACATTTTTCTGACCGAGTCTACAGCTCTCAGCTGGTCTTCTTACTCCTCCTTGGTATGGTCATGATTTCATTCAATGTTTTATGTTTTAGTAGAGGTTTTACGGTGCTCGCAACTGCATAAGGTCATATGAGTGCCAAATTTCATTTTAAACATGTCTCAACATGATATGATGCTGATAATAGTGGGTATAGTATTGGTAAAGATTTGGAGAGAGAAAATAAATGAGTACAGGCATGGGTATGACTGGTTGGGAACTGGAAGATTAGTACTGTAGCCTATAAAAACTTCAGTGATGGGTCTTACTCATGAGTATTTTTCTCTTTGCGTTCCCATTCTGGAACTCAGGGGTTGTCAAATCCCGGTTCTTCAACCTGAAGTACAACTGATTTTTACATATGTGACCATTTTTCCTAATTGGTAGGGCTCCTTGCCTTCGGTCAGCTACATTCCAATTTCAAAGGTACTACAGTATAACATGGATAGCTCGAATTCGTCAGGACCGGCCTCGGTAGTTCGAGGGATCTGTAGTTTGAATGATATCTTACAAAGATAAAGAAGAAAAAAACAACAACCCGGGACCGCAGGCACTGTTCGACAGATGCGTGATTTCTGCTCTTCTGTGTTCTGCCTATCTGTGTATACTGTATATACTTTTCATACTGACTAGAGTATTTTCAGTTTTGATGGGAATTAATTTTGAATTTTGCGCTGGTGGCAGCTGAAGCCTACTCTTATTGATTTTAGAACCACCACACGATCATTAATGTGGGCTACTTGCACGACAGGACCTCCACCATGATTTTTCCTTTATCCGAGAAGGTGAGAGTTCTGGATTTTATTTACTCTAAGACCAGGGGTGTGGCTGAAAGACAGCAGTGAGAAGGAGCCAGGAGTTGTAGTAGAAAGATTCAAGAGTAAGGGAGAGAAGAGCAGAGATGGGGATAGGGTGGGAGAATATGTGACGGAGTGGAGAGAAAGACTGATGACAGAACAGGAAAAGAGGACAAAGGAGAAAATTCTAGAGCAGATAGAGTAGAGGAGGTAGTCTGCGCTACCCTAAGCATAAAAAGTGACCTTGCGAGTCCCCGGTGAAAAGGGAGGTAACCGCACAATAACTGATGAGAAGCAAATTTCATCTGCTATCGTCGGCCCAGCGCGCTTGGCCTGCTTTGTTTGCCTGTCTCCCTCAGTAGTGGTATTTGTGAGGCAAAGTGAGGGCGGGTGTGTGCGGCAATGAGCGGGGGTGCGCATTCCTGCTTGAGGGTGGCGCATTTTATGGAGGGGCTGGGATAGGGCGGGTCTTGCAACATGTCCTAATAACTTCTTATTATGAATCTTATATGCTAACGTATGATTTTCTAACCATAAAGCAGGAAATATTCTTACACATTGCACAAGAGTTAAGAGTTACAAAAGACACTCAGTTTTTATGCATAGCCAAAAGACAAAAAACAAAAAATAACTGAAGCCAACACTTACAAGGGAAACAGTAATCTATTAGTCAGTCTAGATAACTCTGTAAACCATGAATTAAATTATATAAGAACAGCAAAGTAGAGACATGTGGATCTAATTGCACATGGATAAACAAAGATATTGTTTACACTATTTGTATGGCATCCATGTCTTCCTGAGTCTTGTCCTTTAGGTCCATCTGTTTGACACAGTTGGCGTGCCACCACTTGTCACAAAGCATGCACTGAGTGAGCGCTACCTGTCCTGCGGTGGTGGCTCCACACCCAGCACAGTTGACTGTAATGTCCCCACAATTGTCGGAGCTGTCGTCATACACCGGCTCTTCACCTGAGTCAGAGGAATCTTCCTCCTCTTTCTTCTTCTGTGAGGCCACAACCAAAGCATTCATCTTCTTCTCATGAATTCTCCTTTTCTTCGCCTCCTCTTTCTCCTTCTTTGCCTGCTCTCTTTGTTTTTTCTTCTCTTTTTGGCTTTCCTTCTTGTCTTCAGCTTGTGCTAGCCGTTCCATCTTTCTCTGCTCTCTTTGCTTCTTTCTCTCTTCCTTCTGCTGTTGTTCTTCTTCTGCCTTCCTCTTCTTCGTGAGTATCATCTCTTTACAGTCATTTTTCCACTGATGGACCGGGGCACTGTTGGCTGGGGCCTTCTAACGGCCTTGTTCTTTGAACAGGACGGAAAAGTGAGCATTTTGTCGATAGTCATCTACCCGGAGGGATGCTGAGGTTCCAGGGCTCTTGCTGATGGCTGGGGGAGCGGAGGAGCTGGACCACATGTTGTAGTCGTGGTCGATCTTGAGATCGTATCCATTGTCATATCTTTTGAGGTACAGGTCCACTTTCTCTTTTCCAAGCTTAAAAAAGTTAATGGAGAATATTTCCTTGAGTCGGTGACGGCGAGTTTGTGACGTCGTGGATGGTTCAGAGGCAGAAGAGGCGGATGGGGGCAGAGGCAGACGAGGTGGATGACAAGTTGAGGGTAGGGACAGGGGACCCTGTGAAGGTGCAGCTGGGTTCAGCTTGTCACTTGTGAGGACAACGTCAGGGTTGTAGGGAAACAGCCCTGACTTGATGAATCCCCTCAGGGGCGTTTTAGCCGAGTTACTGTTGTCCAGGCCTTCAATTCAGGATGCCGGCAAACGTCCTTAGTGTGACGGATTCCGTGGTGTCCCTCACAAACTTCCTTACCCCCTCTCGCCACGCTGGCTTAATAATGGCCCCAAAAAACGCCTAGTCCAGAGGCTGTGTCAAGTGGCTGGTGTGGGCCTTGATGAAATATAATATTGCCCCGTTCTCGCTGCAGAGGTCTGTGATGCGAAACCCCGCCTTACCAGACGCCATGGCGGCACTGCGCGCCAACCCCCATCCATCCCCTCAGAGAGGCTGAGCGGCTCCGTGCTTTGCTTAGTACTGATGCTATACGCACAACACACTGCTCTGTGTGGAGTGCAAGTATACACATCTTCATAAAATGCATTGACAGCCTTACAACTACAGGCCAATGCACTGTTAGAATACGTAATCAGCAAGCCTGGAAATAATTTGCCTTTGTGTACGAGCTATAAGCAACCACAGCGACCTGCAAATAATCTTGTGCTACAGGAAAGGGTGCTGCCGGATGTTGATAAACGCGGGAACACTCTAGCATGTTTAAATTGGTTCATACCACTGGGTTGTCGCGCAGACCCCCCTATCGCACAACCCCGCCGCTACTCTAATGTTATCTTCACTATCAGGTTTCGATCCCAGGACATTTGGACCGAGAGGTGAACACCTTACCTCTAGACCACAAGAGCCCACGCCCATGAGATGAAACTAAAACAACTTTTCAACCCCCCACCGTCTTTCGGAAAAAGAAGTAAACGCCACCTGCTTCCTTCTTTTAAGGGAATTTGTATTGCTGTGCTCTAGGCTGAAACAAATAACTCCTGTAAATCATGATGTCCATACAAGGGAAATACCAAATCAACACACGTTTGCTGGTCTCTTTTGTGTGATGTTCTGTGCTTAACACATTATACACCCTAACAGGCCCGGGATCCTTATGTGCTCCACCCTAACTCGCCGGGAACTTAGCATCCTTAGAAACAAAGTCTCACCTTGACGAGACTCTGGGACCAAGATTTTGATTTGCATAGTTATTGCAAAATGTTTCTTCTTCCATTTGATACCGAAGCAAAATTTTTCGGGCCAGTAGTTTTAGTACAGTGGAGTCCACTTATAAAAAGTCCTGAAATAACAAGAAGTCTGTTATAAAGACACTATTCTTAAACCCCGTTTTTTTCCTTTCTTTAACTTTGTAAATAAAATACTGCTATAGTGCAATTGGACAAACACGCGAGTCGGTTATAGGGGAATATTTCTGTTGCCATGCATAGAGCACAGGGCAATTATAATATGTAAAACCTCGCCAGTTGAGAAACTTGTTGGTGATCTAGCGAAACACAGAATGGGAGAGCCCACGTGTGCCATCAATGAAGGCCGCAGCGAATGAGTGGGGAGGGTGTGGCATGCGCAGACAAGCAGAACGCATTGCGTGATAAGCCAGCCTAGATTATCTAGGCCTACTATGCCTTTCCCTTCTCCGATGCGGGGATGGAGAGGTCACAGTGCTATGATGGATGGAGCGAATGTCTGACATGAGCAAGCAGACGGAATGCACCACAGGGTGTGGTGGGGTGGGGGACAACACAGCGGGTGAGTCTTGAGCCCTTTCCTTCTTATCGCCAATGCAGAGCTGTCAACATCGCTAGTGCTAGAGAATGAAACCTGATTCGATTTTTTATTAAGCAAGAACAAGAGGTCATGTTGAACAAAATTACCATCAGCAGAGATAACAAAAAGAAAGAGAACTCCAAACTCATAGATTAGGCCTACTTTATTATTCCCCTTACATTTATTACTGGATCCCTTATAATGAAAATCCTGCCGTAACGGACATTTCGCTCCCGTCCCTTCCCTCTCGTTATAACAGGATTCCACTGTATTAGAACCGATCGAAGTGCAATCGCGTTTCCGTCAGTTCGAAAGTGTCTCGACTTGTTGAAAAGCAACACAACTGAGTTTGAAAAAGGAAATAACGATGGATTTGAGCAAAAGAAATCATATGGCAAGTCAGATGAATCAGATTTTGATGAAAAAGTTATTGCAAGAGTTTGGGACGATTCAGATTGATCAGATGTAGAATTTAGATCAAGGGCCAGGACCCGACCGTGAGGCTGAGAGTGAGAGTGACGGGTCGGACGCCCCGATTGAACTAAAGTTAGAACATTTCCAAAAGTTTGCACATACGTAAATTTATATTTTCTGAAACTACATTCATTTTTCTTTTTAACTTTTATTTTTTTCCGGATTTTTGGAATTTGTTTAGTATTTTTAAAATGTGTTTTTTAAAGGCTTGTATTCACGGGAGGTGGGTTCCTTTTCTCTTGCTTAGAATCTAGGAACGCACTTCCCGTCCAGACCCCTAGGGTGTAATGTGAGTACAGTTAAAATGGCATAAGCAATCTGCGTTTGATCCTCCTGAACATTGGTGAAGTATTTTCCCCATGGTATTGAAGAGGAACTCTGTTTCTTGCCCACTCTTGCAGCATTCTGTGACAACATGCTGTCCAAAGGGGTGGTCAGATGGGAAGACTTTAGTTTGGTGGTGCTAGATGAGGTCCATCACTGTGGAAAGCAGCACCCATATCACAAACTGCTGAGTGTCCACCACCGGTGCTTGCCCTATGAGTCCCGTCCAAAGATGTTGGGGCTCACAGCTTCTCCGGCTGGGAAGTCTACGGTTGAGGAAGCCTACAAGATGTTGAAGAACCTACTCAGCAACATAGGTCAGTATCAACTAGAGTGTAACCTGAGAATAAGGGGGTGCAATTCGCTGTGCTGGGGAGAAGGTCATTGTTCTTCTTAAGTACATTTTCGGCCATGACTGAAAAAATACCCACTAGGTTATTTTGATTTCAAGATATAGATCAAAGCATTTTAATGGCTCCTTATAAAAAAGTCAAGAAAAATGAGGGAAGAGAAGGGGATTCTTGTTGCTTTCTTGTTGTTCATATAAGCTTGAGCTGTAACGATCCCTAGCTTTAATAGAAATTTTTGAATAATTTATTGCAAATTTGCTTTGGAAGGGATGAAGATTTATACTTTGATATCGGCAAAAATTCTTTTGTTAGATATTTAGGGAAAATTTAGTAGTTTCTGGGTACACAAAAATGACTGTCTGCTCACTAGAGCGGTGATAAAGATGACAATTTTTCTGTAAGAATTATCAGTATGATGTCAACTGAACCTTAAAGACTAAGCACCTCAAAGTGAAGCACTGTCGAACCTCTGTAAGATGGCCTCCCATTATTGAGAAAAGTAGCCTTCTAAGACAAGTGGCAGTCTTTGGGGTGGGG